TGAACATACACGTTCCATACTTAATTAAATCAATTACTTTTGTGCACTTGATTTTCTTTTTATTTATTTATTTTTTTTTGTGCACCAAAATTCAGCCTGCTTTTCAGTGCTTCATAGGCGATGAACAGAATTTCCATCTGCACACAGAATTACTAATAGGCTTGTTAAATGAAATGTTGGGATATCAAACGCATTTATCTGAGGTCATTTTGGTGCGTAGTAAATTCTGGAATCCTGCGTCTTTCGTTAGCTTTACAAAATGTATGACCATTCCAAACACCATTTCTTAAAAAAAAAATTTATTAAAATTTTTATTTTTTATCTATAAATATTTTTTTATTTATTTATTTGTATAAATAAAAAAACGGTTTTTTATTTTAATTAAAAAAAAAAAAACAATATACAATTAAAATATTTACAACTAAAACTTTTTATAGCATATGTTTTTTAATATTTTTAATTTGTAAAAAGGAAACAAAAAAACAAAGAAATTAGTGAAATTTACTGTCTCTATTGCCATCAGGGCCAAATAAATGGGCAACAGGTGAAAATGCATGCGCTGCATACAAGCATTAACAGTGCTCTGTTAACGGGCCTTAAATACAGTTGCAAGTGGCCAACGCTGTTCAGTTCTTTGACAGGAGGCAAATCGCAAGGATTAACAGTGAGCGATACGAATCAGACATTCAAATACGTACATAATACAAATAACTCTCAGATCAAAGTAGAAATAAATTAATTGTTATTATTGGCATAATGCATAAGGCGGTCATTTTTGTCTTAGTGTTCATCTGGCTTAGTTCACTTTTCGCCATAACAATTTCGCCAACTAAACAACTTCGTCCGCCACATTATCTAGATAGATGCGTCAACGATCAAAAGCAGGCTGACGAATGCTTCAAGAATTTGCCGTCACATCTCATGGAATTTTTGCAGCACCCAAAATCTGTGAAAAGCCAACAGGAAATTGTTGCCCAGTGCAAGTAAGTCGCGTTTGGAGTAGAGATGACTGTGATAATAAAGTTTAGGATTACGTTAAATAAATAGTTTATTATCAACTGGAACTAAAATTGAAGTAACAATTTAAAATTTAATTACAATTTAAAAAATACAAGACTAAAATTTATTCATAGTGTGTACAAGCAAAGTATGAAATGCTTTGAGGACTACTCAGCACGTTGTCTACATAGTCTCAGCTTATTTAAAAAGGGTGTCGATGGTGTTGTCAAGTTTTTCGAAATATTTTGCGCAGACAAGGACTTTCAGCGAGGTAAGAAGCACAGCTAAATGTAAATGATATCTGCTTTTATTTATTTTGTTTTACTTTT